TAGTAGAGATGCAAAAATTATTTTTTTAAATCTTGGATAGATTAACTTATACAGTTTACCTATAGTGATTAGTGAACATTGCGGTATTTAATTTTTCAATACCAATTGATACTAGTAGAAATTAAACACAAAAATAAAGCATAACATTTCAAAACTTAAATTCTGCCGCACCTAAATACTCTCCCATGAATATATATTGATAAGTCAAGAAAAATATTTTTTTTTTTTTTCAATAATGAGCCAAATACGAGTGCCATAGCCGTAGGGTAGGTGTGCTACTAGACTGTTTCTCAAATTTAGGTTTGTTTTTCAATAAAGAATTACTTGATTTGTCAATTCATTAAACCAATAAATGTATATTATTGTACATATAAACATATTTAATAAAAAAATGTGTTGAAAAAAAATTCATATCTATTATAAGCCTCTTACCTATAATTATTAATATTATGACTTATGAGCAGGTACTAGTAAAAACAATGAACTTAGTAGTGGCCTGGTGCAGTAGGGAAAATCTTCACACAGGCTTCAATAAAAAAAATAGTGGTCGTTGTAGCACAGAATGCGTTGTATTTTATTCTAATAAATGTATTCTGTATAGTGCCTACGAATCTTACGTGGGTGGGTCTACCTACGCTAGCCTTACGTAAACCGCGGGAACTGGCCGGTAAAATGTTTTGTCGAGGGACCCGTCAGCACTGGGAATTATTGATTTTCCGAGAAGCACGACCTATTAAATTTTCTCCGTCTATAGGTATGTAATAATGTTATGTAGGTACCGACAATTGCAACAACAACAACAACAACAACGCAAATAATAATATTTTCCGTAGGTATCGCCTCTTTCGAAGCCGGTCAATAAATCAATTCGAATCATCGCGGTTCTCTCGGCGACAGGTTTGTAACCGCAGCTAACCGGTACCTACTCGGAATTTCCATCATCACTGCATATACCTGCAGCAAAAGGCACCACCGGACTAGCGACATCGAAGGGTCAAACCGCAATTAATGTCATTATAAAAACACCGTTTCGATCTGCAGTATAGCCAGTATAGGTACACGCAGTATAATATTATTTATTTATTAACGCCATTCGGCTTTTTAAAATACAACAATAATTAATAATATAGGTACAAGCAGCATAATATTTATTGGTTTATATATATAGATGACATGAATAATGCCGGGTTGCATGCAGTGGCGTATTTACGGGGGGGGATATGGGGGATAGATCCCCCCCTTGACCTTTTTTTTTTTCCTAGGTAGCTAACTAGCTAAGTTGTCTCATTTTCTCTAATATTCTTAATATGATATAATTATAAGTGAAATTACTTTCAAGCATGTATGTTTAATAAATGTTCTAGTCGTGGTAATTGTAGTAATTGTACCGCTCTGATAGTCTGATATACTAATCGCCACTAATCGTTGGCGGCATGTACGACTATCAGGCAACAATAACTATACCTATATTATGGTGTACTGTATTTTGTACGTTTCTGCGAATTATTTTTCATGCAAGAGTGTTTATAATAAACCCGATAAGCAATCGGTAAACAAAACAAAATGACCATGAATACCGTGGATTAACCATAGGCCGGGTTTATTTTTAGAAAATTTGTTACTAGTAGATTTATGGCTAATCGCTAATGTATAGCGATTATAGATATTATTATTACATTATATTTTATCGTATGATATCGTGATTTGTGAAAAGTAGATATTTACGGTCGTTGGACGTTGACGGATAGCGAGTAGCGACGCCATTCCGAGTACTGACTTACTGCCGAATTAACTATTGTTCGACTTTTATTTTTTTCGTCTTGTTAGTTGTAACTGTGAAGTTTTAAGACAATAATACAATATGAGTAATACTCAAAAACAAAAAAACACTTTATTTTCTTATTTTAGTACAAATAAAAAAATTTGTTTGGAAAATGATGAGGTAATTATAAAAATTAATAAAATAATTAATTAAAATTATAAATTATACTATATTAAAACTATATATTATATATATATATATATTTTATTATTATTATTATTATTATTTTTTTTTTTTATCGTATTAAACACGGGATTGGTGCTAGTATGAACTTATAATAAATGCTATTAGGTACTTATATATTATTCGTGTTAATTTTTATTTTGCCTTGATCCACACTAACCTCAATAGGTAACAAGTTAGGGGATTTTAAAAATGTATATTATGTACGGATTTATGGGTGTTAGGATGTATTATTATATATTTCATCCCCCCCCTAGCAAAATTCCTAAATACGCCACTGGTTGCATGAACAATAATTGATTAATTTAATGGGCCGATCATGGTCCACTAAATCATGTCACTAAATCATGTTTAAGGAACCGTTGGCTCTTGGCTCAGTATATTGATTCATTACATTTTTAGAAATCGTTCATGCAACCCGCGGGCATAAGCGTCGTAACTTGTAAATTAAAATATATATACATATATTATTACTAGGGCTCGGAAGTTGTTGCATTTGCATGATTTTTTTGAACCATTAGATTTATTGCTAAGTAAGCTAGAAATTCATTTCAAGACACTACGAAAAACATATCAAAAGTTTTTAGTGCATATTTTTGCATATTTAGTGATTTTTAGATTTTAGAGCATATTTCTTAATTTTACAATTTTTTAAAGCATATTTTATAATTTATGGATATTTAATATGAACATTTGTAAATAAAAAAATAAATACATTCATATTCAGAGACCTTACTAGATATTCTTCAATTTTATTATTCAAATTTCCATTTGACATTAAAAACTATGTTTTTCCTCTATTGGTTAATATGATATTATATAAATATATATATAAATTACAACTACAGCTAGATTTATCTAAAATAGAATATTATACAAATCTAAAATAGAAACAGCTGCTATCGAAATACGACGATTTTTTATAAATACTTTTATAGGAAAATAACTCAATGATTATTGACTATTGTTAATGGCATTTATAGATTTTAGGTATTTCAGGTATATAAATATAACTCGACAGAAGTGCATTTTTTTATTCAAGGAACATTTTTAATTTTTAAAGCGATTTTTTTATTATTTTTTTGTTTAAATTATGATTAGAAAATATAAATAATAATAAATTAATAACTTATATTACTTTGCTTTTTTTTTTTTTTTATTTACAAATTTAAAAAAAATATTTGTACAAATGAAAATGTTGTGTAAAATAATTAAATATAAGTGCATATTTTTAGAGCATATTTGTAGTTTTTTAAGCGCATAAGTGCATGCATATTTAGTACTTTTTAAGTGCATTAAGTTCCGAGCCCTAATTATTACATTAGGTATAACAAGTTCTCAATTTCTGCAGATAGTATAATGGGATCATGGGGATAGGGGATGAGGTATTTTGAGCCAATTTTAGTAGCAAGGTCCTTGTAATTTTTGACGCCAATTATTAGCAAATTTTAGATAGTATGTAATATATGCACCAAAATATAAAAAACAACAATTGATTTGCGCCGCTCTCAGTATGTATAGGTACTAATTTTGGTAAACTGAGCCATGACAGAAAACGAAAGAGTATAACATGCGTACCTAATCTACTCCACACTTACAATTTCAAATTTCAATTGGTAGAAATTACCTGATAATAAAATTTACAGAGCTCATAACAGTTATAATAAATAGCATATTTTAATATTTTAATAACGTAGGTAAACAATTGACAATGAATTATAGTATTCCTGAATTTTACATATTTTATTCTCAACTAGAACAGTAGCGTAATTATGAATTTGGTTTGGGGGGGGGGTGGATATACGTTTTTAGCAAACATGAATAGTCATTATTGATACATTGATAAAAGTGTTAGCAGTAAAAAAAAAAGTTTTTGGGGGGGGATATATCCCCCTAATTACGCCCCTGAGCTAGAATATTACTATATAGGTAGTCGTAGGTGAGTTTATATACAAAGACACAAAGTATAAACATACATGTGTACCTACAGTTACTAGTTAGAATCCTTTTTTTATATTACTTTATGTAGGAACACTTTAATAATTTCCAAGGATATACCTAAATCTCGATCAAAATGAACTCGATTTATGAATGATTTAAAATGCGCAAATAAATAAAAGTTTCAAAAACAACACTATACAGTGTGTCCCAAAAGTCCCGTATCACCCTTAATATCTCCATGTAAAATCACTATATTTAAACGCGGTTTTTTTTTACAGTACTAAGTATGAAAATTCTGATTGAATGGCATAAAATTCATTTATTTTTTTCTTTAAATTCAAGAATGTTCAAAAAAATTTTTTACGCATTTAAGAATTTAAAATTTTTAAGATAGCCATTTTGTTGAGCATATTTTTTAAAACAGTTAAAAAAAAATACTAAAATTAAATAAAAATTGACCAAGTTAGAGCAAGTTATGTTTTTGAATAATTGTAGTAAAAAAATAAATTAGGAATGTAAAAGTATTGTCGTGTGCTGAAATTAGATATTTCATTATTGAAATGTGAAACAATAATTTATTTTTTTACTACAATTATTCAAAAACATGACTTGCTCTAACTTGGTCAATTTTTATTTAATTTTAGTATTTTTTTTTAACTGTTTTAAAAAATATGCTCAACAAAATGGCTATCTTAAAAATTTTAAATTCTTAAATGCGTAAAAAATTTTTTTGAACATTCTTGAATTTAAAGAAAAAAATAAATGAATTTTATGCCATTCAATCAGAATTTTCATACTTAGTACTGTAAAAAAAAACCGCGTTTAAATATAGTGATTTTACATGGAGATATTAAGGGTGATACGGGACTTTTGGGACACACTGCATAGGTAGGTACCTATTAATTGTTGTAGAGTGGCTCAAATCGCTTACCAAAATCATTTTTCAGATGTGGCGCGAGACACATATAAACCCATAATAATATATCGCCATTGGGCTGGTGGTATTATATAAATCGGAGGACGAAGTTTAGGTCGAACGTATACCGCACTGGACATGAAGGCGGTGGACGTGGCGGCCGAATCTGCCGAGGCCGCGGCTCACCGGCCGCCGACCATCGGGCTGAACTTCGGCGAAGCGATGGCCGACTTCAAGACGATGTTCCCGACGCTGGACGACGAAGTGATCGAGGCGGTGCTGCGGTGCAACAAGGGCAGCGTGGACCGGACGGTCGACCAACTGTTGACGATGAGCTGCGAGTGTCGGGCGGCCGACCTGCTCAATAACGGGCCCGGCGATGGTCTGCCCGTGCAGCACGCGCTCTTCGACCCGATGTGAGGAGATCGTTTGATCCATGCGAATAATATGCGATCGCTGCCTCGGTCGTTTCGACGCAGGGCCTGATTTAAAGAAGTGGTGGTCAGCTGGCGATACATTATTCAGTACCTCGATCTGGGGCCCTTTTTAACACAAAATAAGATTGGTAACAATTTTAAAAACGGGAACATTTTTTTAAAAAACCAACAATATATTAATTGAGCCCTAAGGCACCTATCGCACCTAGGATACTTAGCTGACAACCATAAGTTTAATCCGTATCTTCCCTAAGTCTGTTATATTTTTTTAACTGCCTTTTTTTCGACAAATTCAACAATAGCGCAAATTATTTGCTAATTGTTTTGGAACGTCGTGATTTGATTGCCTCAATGATGACAAAAGTCCTGCAGTTTTTCTCGTGTTACAAAAGACCGAATGCGAATTTTAAATGCATTAAAGTGCAGAAAATGAACGTTTATTAAATAGGTACCTACTACACAATTAGACATCAATCGTGCATATGGCATTGACAAGTATTTTTTTGAATAAAGCAGTATAACGGGCCCTTAAAATGTGTGGACCCTGAGTCCGTAAATCAGGGCCTGCAGGTTCGACGATCGATGGGCCCGCACGAGTTTCTCTTACTCTCTCTCGCTCTATGTCTGTCTCCGGTTTTCAGGTTGCCCGACGTGCTGCACAACCTCGGCAAGAAGGCCGCCCGACAAATCGGCGACTCTTCGTCGAGTCGTTGGAACCCACCGATGCTCGGGCCCCTGCCCACCGACTTCCTCAGGCTCACGACCGCCGGCGGTTTCACATCACAAGTAAACGTAGACATTTATTCGCCACCAGCTCTTGCCCCGGACAGTAAATCGGTCGCACAGCCGTGGATTTTGTCGTTGTGGGAGGGTTTGTATATCCTATCAATACATCCATGCAGAGCTCTTCGACTCGAGTACCGATCCATGGACCAAGGGGAGGGGGAGGCATAACCAAGGGCCACGTCAGAACGCTGTATATATACTAATTAAGACATTTTTGATCCATTGCAGTATTGCTTCTATTATGACTAAAATAATTGACTTCATTCATCATTGAAATATTAAGTATTAACATAGTAGGTACCTACTACGCGTAATATAATAATTAATAACTATATAAACTTGTTAGTTGTTAATTATTACACTCATTACTTAACATAACGTAGCGAGATGATACAAAGTATTATAGGAATTCAAAAAAATTTTCAGAAAATTGTGTCCTCGGGCAAGGGCTGGTCGTTCCCCTATAATATCCTCACTATTCACCCCCCCCCCCCTCGCAAGTATAATAACGGAACTGTCACTGACGGTTAAACGGTTTTTCCTGACTGCAGGTTTCGGAGAGCGAACTCAACGACGAGCAAATAGCGATTCTGTTGCAGAACGAAGAATTCCTCGTGCAGCTGCGCAAAAACGAACAATTCCTCTCCACCTTGGATAAAGGCACGTTAAGTTAACCTATACGGTGGCCCCGAAGTCCAAAATTTTACCTATGACATTAGACACCTCAACATAAAATGTTGACACCCTATTTCTTATAATTACTTTACCATACACCAAGTACAGTTTTTATGTCGTCTATTAAACAAATTTTCATAAAATAACTATAGAATGACAAAGTAACCCCTACCTACAAAAATCACCTAGTATGACAATTGTCATAGGTAAATATATATTTTGGCGCCACTGAGTATATATACAGTACCTATATAGGCTTTAAACTTGGATTAATTCATATTGTAGACTGTAGTGTTGAAGTAGGTATATATTTTTTTTTACATGGAATGATTTGGTGGCGTAGGCCGTAGGTGAGTAGCCAGGGGGGCTGGGATTTTTGGAAAATTAAAAAATGTAAGTGTCCGGTGAACGAATTACGTAGGTACAAAACGAATCGCGATTTTATTACCTACAAATAATTGTAGTTTATTATTGTTCAACAAAAGCTGATGCAAACGTTTGACGGATTCCAGTTAATCCTCCCCTATGTAACAAATTATCAGCCCCCTCGGGAAAAAAATTTTGGCTACGCTACTGAAATTGTTATGTCGAGCCCGTCCATCACTAACAATTTATCATACAATTCTTATTTTCAAATGCTGAATGTTCTCCGAGATATATTAGTATAAAAATCAGAATTTAAAAATACCTACTGATTTTAACCTACTTACAGTGTCGGCCTGGGATATAAAGGGCCCCTAAGGTAAATTATTCAAAGGGGCCCTCTCAAAAATACCAAACGGCAAACTCAAAATAATAATTTAAAAACGTTTTATAGATATTTATCACATAATATGGATCGATATAATATACAGGATGATTTTTTTATCGAAGAACACTCATTATTTCAAAAAGTATTAATGTTTAATAAAATATTTTTTTACATAGTTTCAAGTTGTTAAAAAACAATATTTTTATTAAAAAATTATATTTTTAAATATTTTTTATCCTTTTAATTTTTTAAGTTTTTTACTTTTTTGAATGACAACATCTAATTTTAATTTGATATTCAAAAACAGAATATTTTTCTGAGTATTTCGATACATAAAAATTGAATTTAGGGCAAGTAGTTTATGAGTTATAAGTATTTAAAGTTTAGATGAGCGGAGTAGAGGACAAACATTTCGCGGGGTAACCCCGTACCACTCTACTCCGCTCATCTAAACTTTAAATACTTATAACTCATAAACTAATTGCCCTAAATTCAATTTTTATGTATCGAAATACTCAGAAAAATATTCTGTTTTTGAATATCAAATTAAAATTAGATGTTGTCATTCAAAAAAGTAAAAAACTTAAAAAATTAAAAGGATAAAAAATATTTAAAAATATAATTTTTTAATAAAAATATTGTTTTTTAACAACTTGAAACTATGTAAAAAAATATTTTCTTAAACATTAATACTTTTTGAAATAATGAGTGTTCTTCGATAAAAAAATCACCCTGTATAATCTATCAAACATTAATATTAAATTATCATATAATTTTATTATTACTAAGGACTAAGCTTATTATGATTTTAGTATCATTAAAATAATAAAATGTATATTATATTATTATTATAAAATTATTTAATGGATCCAAACGCATACCACTAGGCTATACAGTGTGATCACGATAATAGGTAGGTACCACTAAATATCTCAGATGGGTGTCTTTGTATTGAAATGTTGTTTTCGGGAGCACTTAAATACATATTTTCAGACCAGTTTCAAATTTTTAGCTCACTCGGTAGCGCATGCGCAATACGACTTACTTTTTTTTAAAAGACAACCCCAGTTTTTTTCTGAAGATTTAGGTACAGTATTTTTTTTTAAACATTTATTGTATGAAAAGTTATTTTCTATTTTCAAAACTGACCAAGTTCGAGTAAATCAAAAATTGGATTTATGCATAATTTGTGTTTAATGATATTTTCATTTATAACCACTGGAAATAATAAAATAATTGCCAAATAAATGTTTAATGGAGGACGGAGTGGCCGAGCAGACTAAGGCATCGGTTGCTACCCGCACCGTTGCCGGTTCGAACTCGGCCACGGGTGGCATTTTTCTTTTGGCAGTCATAGTGTCCGGAGAGAGAAATATTGATGTAGGTACCTACCTTTATATAAATTTAAATTCAATAGAGAAGTATCTGAGGGTTATTATTATAGTATACGCCACTATACGATAATAGTCTTAGAAAGTAGTACCTATAGTGCAATAGATATTAGAAACTAGAAAGTTATAATAACTTATATTTATTTTGGTATTAAAATTTAATAATTTGTAAAGATTGTTCTAGAACCTAGACTAAATAAAAGGTTACGAGTAAGGTTATATATACTTTATATATTATTATTATTATATATATTATGTAAGATAATTATATTAGATCTATTATCTATCCTTGGTACATATAAATTTAATAAGACAAAAATAACACTTTTGGTTTACATGTCAAAATTTAAAAAAAAAGTATTGCCGCAGGATATTCCTTAAATAAAATGAAAAATAAAAGTGTTTGAATAAATGTGTTATTAAAAGATAATGGAGACCAGATAGGTGGTATGCTTAGTGAATCATCCTGTATATATATATTAATATGTTGTGTGAATCTCAGTGGATTTGAGTCAGTCATATATAATGTGTTTGTGTTCCAACAGACAGTCCTGTCGAAGAACAAAGGTTCTTCGTTCCAAATCAGACACTGGGGGACGACGATGCTGCATTTAAAGAAAGGCTAAAAAATATGGGAAAAGGTATGAAAATAATAATGATAAATTTAGGGTATCGGAATAATTTTTTCTCAAAATATTCAAGTGGTTATTTAGTTATTATAGATCATGAAATATGCATTGAATTTTATTACCAAACCTAATGATATCAATAAAAATATTCTATAGCTTCCAGAAAGAAATTTATCCAAATTGCAAGAGTATTTACGGGAAAAAAGAAGAAGAGCACTGCACGCAATATAATGAATCATGGAGACACTCACATAAAAGACAATTTATTTCTGCACGAGGAAGAACACTGAAACAAATTATTTACTTGTTGTTATTGTTTAGAAAATAACTTTTTCTTTTATATTCAATCATGTTATTGTTATTATCAAAATTATTAGAATAATTTAATAGAAAGTTTTAAATAATATAGGTTAGAAAAGAGTCAATAAAATATAACCATTTATTTAAAATAACAGTTGTTCTAAGTAATTTTCAAAATCATCTTCTCTTGGTTTTTCCTCATCTATTTGTTGCTGTTCACTCCAAACATTATCTTCAACTGCTAGTTTAGAAGTTACTGGTACTTCACTCTGAACGCTAGTAGTTGGCCGACTAACAGATTTTTCTCGATCTCTGTTAGAATGTTTTGATTTATCTTTTTTCGATTTGGAAATTTGGCGCTTGACTTCTTTCTTTTTATGTTTATAATTCAATTTATTGGAGCAATCCATACACAACCCTAAAAACATTTTGATATAAAAAAAATTGCATATAATTATAACTTATATGTAAGACATACTTAGTTTGACTAGAGTATTTTTCGTTACGGAGTGTTCCATGTAATTAAAATTTACTTCCCATGTCCGTAGATGTGATGTTTCATCACAAATTTTATTGCCGCAAATGAACTGACCTTTACCACTAACCAATTCACCTTCAGTTTGCCAACGCATTGCTACCTACATAATAAATAAAAGTAGGTTAACATTAAAACAATTGATTTACAATTTCATAATAGACATGGTACATTAAATAGATGACAAACTTTTTTTTATTTATTATAAAAGCATATATTTACCATCTGTAAATGGGCACAATACAATAAGTAAAAGTCAGGTTAGATTTTGGTCGTGTTCACCTAGTGAACCATCTTAAATTTCAAAACTCATTATTTATGTATGATCTTTTATTTTGTATTATATATTTAGAAAGTCTTTTGCCAGAAGCATTTTATGCGGAGTAATGCGTTTATTGAATATTGGAGATCAATGGATTCGGGTGGTTCGATGTGGCTGTGCTGAGTCTATTGTAATATTGAGAGGCTAGTGCCGATATAATATAGTGTTCTTATTTTTAAACTGTTGTTTAGAGAGTTATTGCTAAGTACCAAGGTACACATATTGATTGGAGAGATCGCAGAACACCATTTATATTTTACTAACCTTAGACTTTTTATATAAACTCAAGTCACAAATGCAATATTCTTTGAACAACTTGTCATAATACTTCTTAGCCAATTTCTGCTCCCAAGTGGAAGCTTCGTCGTCTTCTTCCCATACAAACTTATGGTTTTCCTGTATAACATCGAAATCACGTTTTTCACGTCTAAAACAAAATACCTAAGGTGATAATTACCATACACCAATCCAACTCAAGGGTAAACATACTTTTTTAAATCAATGAATTTGCAGTATTCCAGATACTTGTCCAATAATTCTTTGTGCAATTCAAACGGCTGAAGACCAGCCAATTTTTTTCCATCCATATTGCGTTAGTGTTTACTATTTAGTTCATATTTATAAATAAACAATAATTGAGTGTAACGGCGTTCATATTATTGGTCAGATAGATTTTAGTTTAGTGAAATTAAATAAAACAAATTCCATATTTTATATGAATCATAAAATAAGTACAGTATATAGAGAAGTTTTAAACAGTTTAAATTGCAATAAGTAGTAAATTTAATAATAATAACAAAAATAAAAAAATAATATTGTAATACCTATTACAATATTATTAAAACGTCGATTAAATTCTTTCACGACAAGTTACTATAAAACTACAGTAAATACTATATAGTTATTAGTTAGATACTATAAAATATAATATTATAGAGAACAAAAATACAAAAATTAACAATTCAAAATCTGTTATCAATCTCAGACCTCGGTGTATTTACTATATTATCTTTTTTTGCTTAGATCATATCATATAACAGTATATTCTGTGCATATACCATGATGATATTATGATTAATGTGCTATAAGAATAGAATAAATTACGCCATCTGTCATCTATAATCGCGACTGTGACAATGTAGCACAGATTTCTATAATAATATAGTGCACCGTGCACCTATATATTGTTCTATGCCTATATGTATTCTATATTTCTATCTTAAATCTATATTCTATACTATAGTTTTATTTAATCTGTGGTACTAATCACTAATGTACTATCATAGGAGTACTACGGAATATGGATGGACGGAGCCCATTGGCAAACTTGCCCGGGTAACGTGTAGAAAAATTTGACGCAAACGCAAATTATGCGTAAGGCCGTAGGGACGCCGATGAAACGCGCCATCTACGTATGTGGAAGTACACTCGTGACTCGTCTTGTTTTTTTTTTATGATTACGAAGTATTTCGATGAGACGCACCACTCGTCATCCACGCATGCGTGAGTACTTCACTTTTGTATAATATTCTGTGTTTTCAGACTTTAGTAGTTTAGTTTATTACGATTTACCTCAGTGTCGTAGCCAGGAATTTTGTATGAGGAGGGGGGGGGGAAACAATATGTCTTTTATTTACACTTTCAATTTTTTTTTATAAATCTTGATAAAATTCTAAGGTCAACACAGTTAATGGGGGGGGGGATATAGCCCCCTTAGCCCCACTGGCTACGCCACTGATTTACCTTTTACAATAGTGGTTCTCAAAACCATAGGGTAGCTAAAAAATTAATTATAATGATACCAATATGATCATAATATAACAATTATTGTTATACCTATCAAGATTAATGGCCTATGAGTAAATATAAAAATAATAAATAAAAAGTTATAGATTTTAAGAAACTGTTTCTTTTAGTTATGGTAATTGTCTAATTGAAAAAATTTTAGGTGGAGGGTTGAGTGCCGGGCGGGTAGATCATAATAATTGGTAATTGCACATTATTTTCAAAAAGGTCACATGAAAAATTTGATAAATATATCTTGCCACTTGCCATTATACAAAGGTTGCAACCTCTGTTCTACACCACTAGTAATCATATCCAGGAAGATTATTTATTGGTAATTTATTTATTTAGTTTTTAATTTCTTCAGGCTAATAGATTTTATAATTTATTGAGTGGCCGGAGGGCACCAGAGTGCTGTTTAGAAAGTTGAGTACTCGTATTTAATTGTTTTATTCAATTTGGCTTAATTTTGGTATGAAGAATTTAAAAATAAAATTGAATTTGATGCTTGCAAGGAAATCGGACTATGGCTACGGCCTATGGAAATAAAACAGACGTATCAAATATTTTTCTCTACTTCACAAATACGGTACTAAAAATATAGTAGGTAGAACTAAAAAAATTAACAATTTTTCGTGGATTTAAAATTATGAATTTTAGAAAATATTTGAATCTTTATTTCCATTATTTCAGATTCTAGTTTAAATAAAAATCAATAATTGTTAGATACTGAAATAGTGAAATGTTACACACTATTCTCTATATAAACAAAAAATTACTATTTAATTAGTTATTATGTATATTTAGCTCAAAATCATCTATACATTATATTTTTTGGTACATATTTGTCAACATTATTGATACAAATACATTAACATTGGTACTAAAATAAATGTTAGACTAAGACCAGAACATTTTTAATATAATAATGAACTATAAGTTTTAATTTTAAACTAAGCCAAAAATCTAAACATTTTTTTAAATTCTAATATTTAACACTTATAGTTTATATAAAAAAAAGTAACCTATTTATATTTTATTGTCATTAACGTCAAACATACATAGTTATTTAAAGGAGAAGTCTTGTTATAAATATCAGGTATTAAATGGTGAATACTCTACATTGTTCAAATTGTTATTATCACAAGGTTACATTAGAGATGCAAATTAGCTATAATGCTATAAAATTAATTTTTCTAGTATTTTTTATTTAGTCCTTCAAGTTTAAAAATTCTTATTTTTGTTAACCATGTTTTCCACTAGAAAATGTATTGTACAATTTGCATCCCTAAATAATTTACTTATTAAATAATAATTTATAATAAATCAAGCAAGTAAATTATTTAATAGTAGATTAACAACGGTTTCACAAATCGATAGTTACAATAATAATAATTATTATTATTATTAATAAAACAATATACAATTATTGGTATAATTGTGTAAATATCTATTTATAAATTAAATAAAAAATATTTCTAGTCTACAGAAATAAACAACAAAAACAATTTGTTTGTTATGGTTTTCAATATAATATTATAATTTTACTTGGCAACATTTAATAAAGTATCGGTAATTGCTTCAGCTACATAATTTATATTATTGGTGTTCAGTCCACAAATGTTAATACGCCCCGACCGCAACATGTAAATATGATATTTGCTTCGTAAATATTCTACATGATTTGCTGTAATATTTAAATAAATTACAGTATAAAACTATTTTAACAGTAGAAGTATCTTCTTAAAATTTTACCTGATAATCCTGTATAGGAAAACATCCCAGTTTGATCAGTTATATGATTCCATGTTCCAATTGTGCCAAGCTTCTCCAAATTATCTCTTAAAGATTTTCTCATAGCTTTAATCCTATCTGTCATAAGCTTCAGGGTATTCATCCTAAATATCAAATACATATAAATACATGCATGCATTTATAAATGTTTAGAACAAACGAAAATAATATATTATGGAAAACTCACCATTCATTTTTGAATACATCATTATTTAATATTGTACTGACAGTACGTGCGCCATGGTTTGGTGGATTTGAATACATCCCTCTAACAATCATTGTCACCTGAGATTTTACAGCCTTGACATTTTCCACAGAATTCAGTACAAAAGTTAGGTTTCCTGCTCGTTCATCTTCAAAATACATTAATCAAGTAAAATACAACCTACATTTTACCTTCAAAAGTTAAAAATAGTGTATTAATATTATTAACTCACTATAAAGTCCATAGTTTTTAGCAAATGATTGCGAACATAAGAACTCAAACCCTTGACTAAGGAAGTACCGCACAGACCACGCATCTTTCTCTAAATCTCCAGATGCAAATCCTTGGTAGGCATTATCAAAGAATGGTATTAATTTATGTTCCTAAAATATATATTGACCAATTACATTGGAATTTTAAATATGAATGTTTTTTTATGCTAATATAATAATTATCAGATTTTCTATGTGAAATAATATCAATACTAACTTTTATAATTTCTGCAATTTTTTTCCATTGATCTTCAGTTGGATCTAAGCCAGTTGGATTATGAGCACATCCATGTAATATAATAACCGCATTTTCCGGCGCATTTGATAAATCTTCACAAAATCCATCAAAATCGAGAGATCGTGTTTCTTCATTCCAATAGCGATAAGTTTTGGCATCTTGAAATCCACTAGTCTTGAAAATCAAATGATGATTTTCTAAACAAATAAGTATACATTAAACTATTTCAAGTGTTTTAATATTTAACAGAAGTTTCTATATGTATACATATATTATAATAGTCTTAAAAACATGATCTTTATATTCACTATTCAGATAAAATGATCATTTTAAAGAACAATATTCCATATTATAATTTAATTATTATTATACTTATGTTTACTTTTTTAGAATTCAACTAAAGAGTTCAACATATATCTATTAATAAAAACAAATTAATTTTGTATACTTATTTATTTAGATCATTTAATCATTGATGAGAGTAGTCACTTGAGGAGAGTTAATGTGTTATTTTTATAATGTATACTATAAAAGGTTTAAAATACAACCTAAATAGAATATTTGTATGTTACAGTTATAAATTATACAAACAAATCAATATAATTTTACATATGTAGGTTTTCATTTAATAGTTTTACTACCACAAATTCCACAATTAAATCACACTAGCTACCAGTGTCAGTGTCACAGTTACTCTTTATATATTGTATAAAATGTACATGTATACATAGTCTACCATAGAATAAAGATAAGTGATAACAATTCACACTTATATTTACAAATGTCTTCGCTCTAAAGTATTTAGTATTAAATAAAAGATTACAGGCCCAACTATATAAAACGAATTAACTTAATAATGATATTCTAGTAAAAAAATAATAAATTCTTGTAGTATTTAATTACAATCATACAATAGATACCAATTATTACCTACTTCAAGTAAAAGGCCAAAGCTTTTAATTATCACTTGAAAATGTGTGTTAAATTACCCAATCTATTATTATTATTTTAAGACTAGATAATAACCTTTAGATATTGATCCAGGATATTAATTTATAAAGAATTAACTATTAAAGGATTAACCACTTAACCACACATATTATAGCTTTCAAGGAAATAATTTATGGTAGAATGTTACACAAACAATACGCTAAACGGGAATAATTTAGGTATAATTAAATACATGAAAGATATGGCTAGAAATGAGTGAATGACCTCAAAGATGGTTAAGAATTAAGTATATTTAAGATAATATTATGTAATCTATCATCTATACAAAAGCTTAGGACATTGATTAGTTGGGAAATGATAATTTTTGTCTTTAATTTATTTGCTAAACGTAGGTAATATTGAGTACATTTTAACTACTATTATTTATTTTATTAGTATACTGGTAATACATAACTATACATTTATATTAACAATTACTTCACAGTTTTCACTCTAAAGAATAATCTGAACAAAAAAAAAAAACGGCTATCTTCCTGTATGCGCTCTACCGGCAGCATTGCGACTGCAGTATGCGCTCTACCGTGTTTTTCCACCCTACAACTATGTTTCATTTATAGACAATATATTAATGATAATAATGAAAATGATTATATTATAATATCAACGCACGTCATTGTTTTGTCGCCGTCTCGTTATTTGTTTCAATAATAATAATAAATAATAAATATAAAATGAAATAAAAAAAATTAAATAATATTTTAAATAAATATTAAAATACTTGTGCCATGTCCCTCAGAAAAGCGTTAAATGTGTCACTTTTATTAATTCCTCTCCACCATGTTTCAATGAGATACCTGTAATTATTATTATATTTATATTTACCTTCGTATTTTTATTATTATATTATAATATATTATACCTTGGAAGCAAATCTGGAGTTGTACCACACATATTTTTCACGATTTTCAGTCTTAGAGGCCGCCATAAACTTTCGATTCTCTGGGTATGTGCCTTGGATATTGGTTTGACACCCTTTTCTTTTACACCTCAACAATTTTCTTTCTTTGCCGCGCTCTTTTTTTATGTAATATTTCATTTCACTATCACATTTATTGCATAATATATTTTCTAGATTTACTAATAGATTTTTCGCAATTAAAAAATTAGTAACGGTTTCTTCATTTTGTATGATTTTGTAAAATTCTATTGCTAACATTTTGAACGTAACGTGATGAAAGTATAAAACCGTGTATGAACTCAAGTATTGTCACCCAACGACTAATATTATACGATCAAAAAATATGATATGATGTAGAAAAAGAGAGTTCTAATATTTATTACCATTCAACAATAAAGATATAAATTTTATAGTAGAGCGCATACAACAATCGTCCAATAATCGCAGGTAGACCGCAATCTGGGGTAGAGCGCATACAGGAAGATAGCCAAAAAAACACCACATCTAATACAACAAGCATAGTTAGATAGTAATAATTATTATATTACCAATACCAACAATAACAAAAAAAATATTTTAATAAGCTAATGTATGAGAGGGCAAGGCACTGTTATCATTAATGGTATAATATACTGAAAGATTATTTTAATACAGCGTGGATCATTCTTAACATGTATTTGGTATTTTAGTTGCAGCGCCCTTGGGTGTTTTTGAGAGTGTTTTATAAAAATCACGTACCACAATATACTATGTATTGATGCTTAATATTTTTAATTAGTGTTATATCTAAGACCACTTTGGGGTCAGATCGCACACACCAGTTGAGAACCTCTGATTTAATAGTCTATAGTGAATGATTCGAGGAAGAATAGATTATTGCATATTTTGCAAATTTAAAGTACCCCTGGTACAATTTATTGTCATGAACCAACAATTTGAATTGTAAGCAAATAAATAGGCAGCCACCATCTGCACACCACAGTTTAACAACTCAAATTTGATAAAAACTTTGAAATTATTTTAATATTTTTGTGACTAGTGATCTAGCCTAAGAAGCATTATTTAAATTTTAGACGATTCAAAGATATAATTTACTTAATAATATTCTGGATAATTAAAGTTTGAAAGTTGATACACCTGCATATTTTTTTTTTTTTTGTATGGCTCAATAGTAACTAAATTTGGTTCAATCTTATATTATAACTACTAAATTCTGTTTATGGAGAATCTTAGAGCAATTAATGTTTATTAAATACAATGATATCCTCACTAGTATACATTTAAAATAGAACAACCACGCCCACCAGCTGCAGAAACTGTTATTTTTCATATTGAACTGACTACTGAGTATAGATAAGATACAAATCTGAACCACACCTTAACTGAAGTTGTTTAACTCTATATTATAAAAATAATACATCACAATCCATTATATTATTTTTAATCACAACAAATATAAAAAATCAACCAATACAATAATCAAAAATAGATAACTAAAAATGGTTTATTCTACAGTTTTATGCTAAGTTATAATAATGTTCTTTTAATAATTAAAACACTAAATTAATGAATTGTATGTGCAATATATCTTAGGTATTTCATATTAGATTCAGCAAAACTAAACTTAAACAGAACCCTCCTTTCAGGATGCGAAAATATATTACAATTACAATCACTAAAAACACGTAGAATTAATACTTATAGCAACTTCTTTTTAAGTTAATAAACAATGAGATCGATGATGAATTTTTACTTAACCAAATACATTTTTAAAACCAACACTTATAATTTACACAATAATGATTTATTTTATACACCACATTTCTCTTACAACTTACATGTTAAATCAGTGGCACCCCTCCACATAAAATTTTAACACCCACCTATTTCTTATAATTATCTTACCATACACCAAGTATAGTTTTTATGATGTCTATTGAACAAATTTTCGTAAAATAACTATAGAATGACAAAGGTGACCCCCTACCTACTAAAATCACCTATGATAATTGTCATAAGTAAATATATATTTTGGTGCCACTGTGTTAAATGATCCCTTAAATATTTTGATGTCTTGCGGAAATAACCAAATTTTCAATGCACTATTTAAATAATCATTTAATTAAAAAACACTATGATTGTTATCAATTTTTTCTTTAATATTTTTTTGTATCATTTAGCACTTATTTTATTCCTTGTATTAATTGTACTACTTATATTGTATTATTTAAAAATGTTTTAACTGTCAAATATTATTATACTATTATTGTTTTCGTTATTGTAAATTGTAAATTGGACATTGTCCGTATAAATATTAATAAATAAATAAATAAATAAATAAAATAATAGTATCTGCATATAATTACCCCAAGTTGGTATTGAATAATAGAATGTGGTACAATTCAAATGTTTGACTAAAAATTCTGCTCCCACTCTAAGTGCTCCAGAACCACTGATTGATTGAACACCAAATATCTAAAATAATAATATAAAAAAATATTAATTACAAGATTTTTATTACATATTATTCAATTAAAAGTACTTAAGAATATAAATAAAAATTCACTATTATAGGGAAGCAAGGATTATCATGCTACTATAGATTCATTAGTCGGATTTTATTCTTTAATGGTAAAACAAATTTACAATTAAAATAAACACCATTCTTCTAGTATTTCATTACCAAAGCTTGTAATTTATAGATATTATGACAACTATAAAAATAATTCTATAACATAATTAAGATTTTTTTTAAAGGTTATAATAATTGCTATTAATTAGTAATACCGGTTTTGGTAAAAAGTAACTGGTATTGTATTTCATTAACAAATGCTTACGATATGCTTATACATCAATTTACATGAATTATTGTTAATATACTATGTATACTATGAAAGTTAAAAGCAATGATGTTGTATGACAAAATTATCATAGTTCATGCCTAATTATATCCAAATCCATTCAGCATACTAGGTTAGGAACAGTTGAGACTAAAACAAAATAACAATTAGTATATGAAAACATTCAGAAGAAACAAAACTATTTTAGTCTGAATAATCTATTTTTTTCCAAATTAAGAACTTAGTATGGACTTCTTGGGACTAAATACATATTTTAGTGGTAACTGATACTACTCCAATAGTCAATCATAACTAGAGATGGGAGCTCAGTAAATTTCCAAAAAAAAAATTACGGTAAAATTCACATCTCTAATCATACCTATAAAATCTATGAGATAAAAAGCTCCTATATTAGGTTAGTACCCTAACTTCTATAATACTTCTGAACTACCACCGATAACATTTGCATTAATTTATTATAAAATGAATGTACTACAAACCATGGTAGATAAGACATTTTTTCCCTGAGCATATCGTAAGACACATTTCCTCCTCATGTATAATATTATGTGTGTATATTTTACATACGGTTGTATTTAAATAAAGAATAACAATTTTAGTTATTTTATTGTAATTTAAAATGAACAAAATCGTAGCCAGGGGATTTGGGTTTAGAGTTCAGACCCACCTTCTAAATTTTTTCTTAAAATATTATTAAGCTTATTTTTGTTGTAGAATTTGTCAGTCAAAACTCTAAGCCCCTCCTTCCCCCCAAACTGTTTAGCTTGCTGTGTGCTAGCCTTGTTGTGTGGACTTAATCTTTTACGTATATTATTATATTTTATACTCACAATGGCATTTTAAAATGCAAAGTATTATATTTGTATTGTATAATATTATAAAATGCATTGTATTTAATTTGTATTACTAATAGTAACATTCGTCATTGAATTCAATTTCACACATACATTCCTGTGACTAACTCAATGACGAGGTACACTAACTCAAAGCGGTTATCTACTTTCCCCCATTACCTTATACATATTTTTCACTTTGGAAATTATGTTATATTTCATTTTTAGGGTTCCGTACGGTAAAACGGAAGCCTATTACTAAGGCTCCGCTGTCCGTCCGTCTGTCACCAGGCTGTATCTCATGAACCATGAAAATTAGAAAGTTGAAATTTTCACAGATTATGTATTTCTGTGGATCCTATAACAACAAATACTAAAAATCCTTTTTTTTTTTTTAGGTAATCGGGGGACGACAGCATTACTTCTCCTCAATACTAAAAATCCTAGAATATATAATATAAGCAGTGTTTCCAATATAGCTAATGATGGTACAGAACCCTTCCTGCGTGAATCGGACTCGCACTTGGCCGGTTTTATAATTAAAATATTATAATATGATATATCAAAATGGATTCGATCTGAGGAGAAAATGTCCCAAAACTTAAGAACAAAAATATGTCCAACATTCAAACTATATCTTCTAAGTTATAAGTTATAAATTAAAATATGAAACCAGTTACATAATTATAGTTATTGTAAATGTGTTATGGGTAGTATAACAGTTCATTTTTAATTGAATAAAATAATCCAGATATATGTTCAAAATGATTGGAAGTATTTATAATAAAGTGTTTGTTTTGTTTCGTTTCATTGGGGATATAATATCTTTCTATATACCTAATATTATATTGGACATTAGTTAATATAAGTTGATATTTTGCTCTAGCTTTCGACAGTAAATATACAACTATTATAATATAGGTAAATGCTTTCAAAAGAAAAATAAAAAATAAATAAATAATTACGGTTCCTTCTTCTTGGCGTTGAGTGATATCGCCCAATAGTAGTTGTGATGCAGCTTTAGTAAAAGATTCCAAGCCCAAAATGGGTAAATACTCGTGATTCAATGTACTATCAAGTACCACACCCTCAGCTTTTTTCACAACAGGAATATAATATGGTTTGCCTTCATCTGTCCTATACGCTAAAAATCGATGCAAATTAAAAAATTTGTAGCTGTAGCAGACAGAAATCAAATTTAAAAATTGTACATACCCCCAATGGTCAAATTTACTTTCGATGGATCGTCGTCTTCATTAAAGACTTTCACTAGATGGAACACTTCGATGGGCTGTGCTTCCTCGACGTCGCTGAAAATACTCATAATGGGGCTGGCGGTATACTTTAATATTATGATTTATGAAAAATAATAGTAACGTTAGTAATGAAACAGATTAACATAAACCGAAATAATTTATATTATACTCAAGCTCAGCAGATGAGTGAGGACTGAGGAATAATGGAACTACACTTTTACACGATCAACTCTCTATAATAAACAGCATAATAATAATTATTAATAATTATTTAATAACTTGGATGATAAACACAAGTATTAAGTATCATTCGCTGACACACGACAGTAGTGTCAGCTCGGCAACTCGGCGGTCGGCACTGTTCAAGTAAAAAAAAAATATATTATTATATTATTATCAAACAGTCACAGACTCACAGTGCAGATTATTGTGCGGGCTGCGAGAATGCTGATAAGTGTTATCAGCGTGAGTGACCTCTGCAGGTGACAGGGAGGACGGAACAGCTGTGACAGTGTGATCTATGACTTGTGTCATCTTGTTCCCTAAAGAGTCAGGGGGCAAGGGCGTTCGTAAATCAACTAGGTACATACTGCCTACTAGTAATTTAAATCATTTAATCACCCTATAAAAAGATACACTACACACCAGCGTGGTAACGAACATTTTCAGACTATAGGTAGGTAGGTACTTATCAAAGTAACATTTTACGCGTTGAGTGGGTGACTCCCTCGAAAAATTAGTTCAGGCCACATCAAAGATGTCTTTAATCGTGGTTCAGGCTTTAATGCTTGCCAGATTCATCTTAACCTCATTCCTTACGCCCTCACCCACACCTTTAAAAAACTTCCCCTTCCTTATTGTTTTGTATTATTACAGGTACCTACTACCACCTACTACTGTCTACATCTGTATTTTGTACCTACCGGAATATCGATACTTATCGCTTGTATAACATTTGCACACCCTCTTCCACAGGTTTTATTATTAAAATGACCCGATGATGGCAAAAAATTGGCCAGATAAATATTCAATATTTTTTTGCAAGAACCCAAAACAACCTGACAATATTTTTACTGAAATTGGTTATTATCACGAATTTTAATATTATAAATTATATTTTAATTCGTGGTTACCTATTGTTATTGTCCAAAAGGATAAATACCTAAAATATTTTTTAAGTTTACACATGAGTCATGTGACATGTGACATTTGACATGTTATTACAGGGAACTAAGGAAGCCTCAAGCCAGACTGGAGAGGAAGAAATCTAAAACAGAAATGTTTTACCATATTTAGTCGGTACCTATCGTTGAAGAAACAATAGAATAATTTTAATTCAAGTATAATTGTAAAGACACAAATTGTTTATTACACCACATAAGAAATTATTATGCACATAATAATATATACTTATTACTATGTATTTTTTTTTTTAACTATCGTAGTTTTTACAAAATAAAACTATAAAAATAAGTTTACGGATATTAATAACATTTAGTAAAAAAAAAAACTCGATGGTTGTGTTGAGTGATAATATATGGTCGATTCTTCGTTATGGTGTTCATTTTAGACTGAATTGTTTGCATAATATGCCATTATGTTTCCACTATGTTACCCAATGGGAAATAGCATAGGTATATACCTAATCCATATTTGATTTTTATGTGTTGGGACTTAAGGCATTGTAAAATTAACTTGGTTTAAGGAGGACGTTACACCGACATTTTGTTGTATCCGTCTTACAAGTGCGTAACATAGCAAATTTTGCGCTCAGCAGATCACGTTTTGCTCCGTTAGTTTAAAAATTAGAGTGAATCGATTTCTTACACAATTTAAAAGTAAGATTATTATTTAAACAATGTCAAAGGATTATTATATTTTAGTTTTAAAGCGAGCTATGAGTATTTTAAGATGTACAAACAATTTACAATATGCCTAGATATAATAATCTTACCTTTACATCGGGGATGAAAAATGTTTTTAATATTTTCGTTTTCTATTTTGTTTATTGATTTAAAAAATATCGTTTTTGTTTAACGTTTTTGATTAACGTTTTTAAAAACGTTATTTTTCCATATTGTTTTTGATTAACGTTTTTAAAAAAGTTATTTTCCTATTTTTTCCAAATAACTTTTTTGATAATATTGTTTTTATTTTTCTCATAATAGTAAGAAATTGTAAGTAAGTGCATTATAGAAATGCACTTAAAAGTTAAAAATTAAAATTAATTAATTTAAATATTTCATTATATATTTATATATAAATATATTTTTAATATTAATTTAATATTTAAATTTTAAATCAAAATTATAATTTATATGAAAATAACAAATAAAAAAATTTCTGATTTCAAATTAAAATGTTTTTAAATTTTAAAAGCGCATTATTGGTAAAGATTAAAAAGTATAAAGACTTAAGAGAAATTTTTTTTCAACATTTTTTTGTTTTTCGTGGCATAAATATAATAATTGTATAATACTATAATTTATTTTCGTTTTTGATTTTATTTCGTTATTAAATTTTTTTCCGTTTAATAACGTTTTTTTAAAAAAGTTTTCAAAAACGTTTTCCATCCCTTCTTTAAATTATATAAAAGGTCATAAACTCTAATTTTTAAGGCGATAAACGTGATCTGCTGAATGTAAAATTTGTTATGCTACGCACTTGTAAGACGGATACAACAAATGACACTATCACGTTCCCTAAATAATTTTAACAGTTTGTGTAATTTAACAATATTTACTATCAACTAAAACTATTATACATATATAATTATAGGTACCTAATAGTAAAATTGCTGAAAAAAAGTTTTGTGATTAGTTATTATATCATTATACTATTACTATAATCATACACACATATCGTATAATATACTTACACCCAAAGAATTTTTAATCAAATATAATATAAATAGATAAATGTACGTATGTATACAATTTTGTATTTGCGGTAATTTCAAGATACTTAAAAACACATCGATATTAAAGGGATTGAAAGCGAGCGATCACGTACTGTCTTCTACAATCTCCTGTGGCTTTGGGTTAATTAATAAATAATAATAATTATTAAACTCTTTTACTTTAGCTGGTATATCAGAGGATATCAGTATTAAGTTTGTGCGTGTATAAGATTCATTTTGTTTAATTTTATAAACAAAATCAAAACCAAACTCATCAAACTGTAATTCAATATTTTGTAACAAATTGTCAACTTTAGAAACCAACTTAACTTTATGTTCATCTTCTTTAATTGTAACCAATAATTTTTCCAAGTATTTTAATTTAACTATAAATGATCTCAGATCTTCTGGAAATTCTTCTTCTTCAAAATCTATTGTTGTAATGTTTTTACTTGTATACCTATTATTTTTTATAAAATTACACAAATGTCTTAATTCGTACAAATACGCAGCAACATAATATTTAAAGTAAATATCAAAAAATGCATATAATAAGTCAGGGTTTAATATGTACGATCCCTCGATGATGCTAAATTTTTCAATATTTATCCTTTCTCCTTTCCAGTACACCATTATCAGATCCTTATAATAAGGGAAAACCACAGATTCTTTCACAAATTTATTATACAAGAACGATAAATTAAAATGATTATAATTATATTTAGTTTCCGGTCGATCAGCCAAAAACTGATTTATATCTTTAGTGATGACGTTTTTATTTCCGAATTCACTATAATATATATTGTTAATGTGCAAAAAATTATATTTGCCTGGTTTACAGTATTTAATTCCATACCTATCTAATTCATTCATAACAATATGCGCTAGTCGATTTATATTACTAGAAATATCGCGAAAATAGTTATTCCGGTTTTCCAAAATAATGATTATATTACTTGCAGTTTTGAGAAGCTCCAAATTTTTTGTCCCCATTTTCCGAATTAATCTAAATAAATATTCTTTGATTGCCTGAAAGTCATTCAATACTTCAGTGTACAATTTAAGAGAACTATTCTTTTCCGAACTGGCTCCTTTATTATTAAGTATGGTAATTTCAAAACATATTTTATATATACTTTTGGTAAAACTACAGAATGATTCCATGTAGAATTCACTTTCTGTCTGGGTTTCAATTATCTTTGTATTTTTAGTAAATGGTTTGTAATATCTATTCTTGTGTTCATAATGTGACTGTTTAAAATACTGATTGAAACATTGAAATTCCCCAATTTTAGATGAAATCACTTTTAAAGTGTCCAACAATTTGTTTTGAACATCATCAATTTTAGCCGTAGTGTAATCAAATTTCATTTTACTGTTAAGTGATTCAATATGGTTGTTAATGTTTTCAATAATATCTTCCTTAACAGCTGTTTCGAGAAATAAGTTTGACAATTCATTCATACAAATAACAAAATCTTTTGGAACATCCTCAATGTGTTTTAATTCTTCTATAATAGGGGAACATAATTCATTTAAATTTTCATTAATTTTGGAGTTAGCGTTTAGTATTATGATTAATGTGTATATTAGTTGTATGATTCCATTAAAAACAGTCCTCTGATACCTAGATATACTTTCAATGTCATACGATTCTAGAACATCCATTAAATAATCACTAAATATGATACTTTTGGTTTCCGTAGTAGACACTTCTGCCTGGATAGTCGCACCATAAAAGATTTTTTCAGCTATTGATCCTAATAATATTTCGTATATTGTACACGTTGTCTGATTTTCTGGATCAAATTTCACATCATTTTTTTCAATAAGTTGTAAAAAATTATAAATGTCTGTCTCAGAATTATTTTTCACTATTGAATAACCGTAAAAATGCGGGTCTTCATAATTGGGTGGAGAATCGTTACAATTTATGGTCAAAAAACGTTGAATAGCATTCATAGTTCCAAGAACCATACCAATAATAGTATTATCTAATAGATTTCTGTTAGTAGTTATATAATGTAATTTTAATTTTAATAATAGCAATTCATCTAAGATAGACTTGTCGCTGTAGTATGAAAACTTCGGTTTTTTGTTTATAAATGTGTTCAATTCATTTATGTAACGTTCAATATGTATTAAAATATTTTCTAAAATGTCTCTTAA